TCTCCTTGTCCTTAAAGTTAATGATGTTGTGTCTTACCTAAAGATAGTTTACATTCATGGACTGAGCTTAGCGTGTCCTTTCAGTCTAGAAAAGTGTCGACAGCTATGTGAAGTATCTTGTTTTGTGTCCGAATCTGGCCTGCCACTGTTTTTGTAAATAAAGTTTTACTGGCACACAGACACACTCATATCATTGTGGTGGTATATGGCCAAGTTGAATAACTTGACAGAGACTATAGATGGCCTCCAGAGTTTAAAGCATCTGTGGCCCTGTATCTAAAATGTTTGCTGACCCTCAGTCTAGAAAATGGAGAATTTCAATTCTGGTTTAAAAAACAAATTTTTTCCCCCTTTTAAAATTCCTTTTTTCAATTTTTGTGTATTTTTTGGAACTCGTGTTATTTGGATGTTGAACCTCCTGGACTGACACTAAAATACTTCTCTCTCCTCTTTGCCATCACTGTTTTGTTATTCTGTCTGGGAATTTCTTTTATCTCTCAGCCTTCCTATGAATTTTTTTGTTTCTGCTACTTGTTTCTTGTTTTGACATAAATTTTTCTGTATTTTTTAATTAACCTTTTTATATTTAATATAAAACAAAAAAACCCACAAAGCTTGACATATAGTTAACAAATTACTATAAAGCAGCTACCCCTATACACCACCTAGGTTAAGAGATAGAAAATGTCTGGTAACTCAAAAGCCGTGTCTCCGTGCTCCAGTCTAATCACAGCGCACACTGAGATATACATAGAGCGTGGATTTCAGCCCGTCACCACATCACCCCTCTTGCAGCTCAGACTGTCCCATCTTCGGACGGTGGAAGCACATATTCAGTTTATCCACCATGTCCTTTTGTTACATCCTTTGTATTTTTTGATAGTTTGCTTGTTATCTAATGTAGCAGGATGTCGAAGACTCCTCTTTCATATTCCTAAATCAGGAATCACCCATTTCCTCCAAGAAACTCTGGATTCTTTTAGTGGGAAATGAGATTTTGAGCTCCCGTTCTGGTTGCTACTCACTGTTCCTGGATTGGTCAGTTGTTTCTAGGCCTTTTTGAAGGACAAAGAATATATATTTTTCTTCCACTGCTTTTATACTTTTACTGTGTCTATCTTGTCAGAACATGTAGCCGTTACATACTGTCCTCTTTCCCTTCTAACTTCATTTGGCCTTTCTCCTCAAGGAACTATACATTTAATACAATCAACCCATATATTGATGTTTCTACTGTAGTCAGTTTGGGTTGTGTGAAACTCGTTATTCAGAAGCTATCTCAGGATGGAATCATGAGAACTGTATTCCCTGTGTTCTTGCTGGTTAATAATTGTCTGTGCTCTGTGACCTTGACAGTCAGTTTTGCTAAATATGTGATCCTTGGCTTGCATTTTCTTTCTTTGAGTCTCTTAAATATGTTTCTCTACTTTATTCTAGAAAAAAACATTGAAAACTGTTGAAAACCGACTTAACCTTTTTTTGTTTTCCTTGTAAATAACTTGCCCTTTTTGCTTCCGTGCCCAAAGATTTTTCTCTGTAATCTAAATATTTTCCTAGAATATATCTGGTGTTAGTTATTCTGGGTGAGTATTCTTGAGTATGCATTGTGTTCTTTCAGTGTATAGTTTCTTTTTATTTCTAATTACGGTTCTTAGTATTCTGTTCCCTTGCTTGGATTTCTGTGAGGGACTCCTGTTATCTGTATGTTATATGTATCTTTCCTCTCTTGGCATATCTGTTGTGTTTATCCACTCTTGTGTGTCTTTCAGTTTAGTCTTCATTCCTGAATTCTTACTAAATTTCTAATTCTTTATGTAGTTCTGTTCCTTCATTTTTAAGCTTTTCCGATTTCTTGATTTATATGGGTCTTTTGTGTCTTGAATAACTTTTTAATGTTTTTACCTTATTTTGAAATCTTGTTTTGTTGGCATGCTTTCATTGTATAATACCATATTTTCATTTATAAGCATTCTTTTCATTCTCTTAATGACTCTTCCCCCTTTTAGTAGAAGTCTCTTCTCATTTCTTAGGTACATTCTTTTATTTACCTGGGAATAATGATTGATATTTTCTACCTACCTAATTTATTTCCTCTCCTTCCTCCATTTGTTTTGGCCTTTATCATTTTATAGGCTTTATTCAAATACATGGTGATCCTTGGTTATTGGTTCATATTTAAGAATTAGACAGTTAAAAAAGCTACTTGGAAAGCCTGTGTGCCAGGTCTTGTCGAATTCTAGACTTTACCATAACATAATCTGATTGGATAATTTCACTGTAAAACCCCAGTGTCAGTGAGTATCTTTTCATTGAGGTTTATTTTGGGGTTTTTTGGGGGTTTTTTTTGGTGCTGGTCTTGTTTTTCAGAGAAGGTTCTTCTAGTCTCCAACCCTGCAGGGCACAAGATTAACTGATAGTGTTCTGCTCTGAGCATAAGAAAATCGTCCCTCTCAGTATATAAACTTTTGCTTAAGGAGGTTGCTTCCAGGTGTTGCTGGTTTCCCCTGGTCCAGACTCTCATTTTTATTCTCTCTGGAGTCGCTGGTGACATGCCTGGGAGGGGAAGGGGCAATTGCTGAGCTACATGGATTCAGTTCAGTTCAGTCGCTCAGTCGTGTCCAACTCTGCAACCCCATGAATCGCAGCACTCCAGGCCTCCTTGCCCATCACGAACTCCCAGAGTTTACTCAAACTCGTCCATCAAGTCAGTGATGCCATCCAGCCATCTCATCCTCTGTCGTCCCCTTCTCCTCCTGCCCCCAGTCCCTCCCAGCATCAGGGTCTTTTCCAGTGAGTCAACTCTTCGCATGAGGTGGCCAAAGTATTGGAGTTTCAGCTTCAGCATCAGTCCTTCCAATGAACACCCAGTACTGATCTCCTTTAGGATGGACTGGTTGGGTCTCCTTGCAGTCCAAGGGACTCTCAAGAGTCTTTTCCAACACCACAGTTCAAAAGCATCAATTTTTCGGCGCTCAGCTTTCTTCACAGTCCAACTCTCACATCCATACATGACCACTGGAAAAACCAAAGCCTTGACTAGATGGACCTTTGTTGGCAAAGTGATGTCTCTGCTTTTTAGTATGCTCTCTAGGTTGGTCATAACTTCCCTTCTAAGGAGTAAGCGTTTTTTAATTTCATGGCTGCAGTCACCATCTGCAGTGATTTTGGAGCCCAAAAAAATAAAGTCTGACACTGTTTCCACTGTTGCCCCATCTATTTCCCATGAAGTGATGGCACCGGATGCCATGATCTTAGTTTTATGAATGTTGAGCCTTAAGCCAACTTTTTCACTCTCCTCTTTCACTTTCATCAAGAGGCTTTTTAGTTCCTCTTCACTTTCTGCCGTAAGGGTGGTGTCATCTGCATATCTGAGGTTATTGGTATTTCTCCCAGCAATCTTGATTCCAGCTTGTGCTTCTTCCAGCCCAGCGTTTCTCATGATGCACTCTGCATATAAGTTAAATAAGCAGGGTGACAATAGACAGCCTTGACGTACTCCTTTTCCTATTTGGGACCAGTCTGTTGGTCCATGTCCAGTTCTAACTGTTGCTTCCTGACCTGCATATAGGTTTCTCAAGAGGCAGGTCAGGTGGTCTGGTATGCCCATCTCTTTCAGAATTTTCCACAGTTTATTGTGATCCACACAGTCAAAGGCTTTGGCATAGTCAGTAAAGCAGAAATATTAGGTGAGGAGAATTCGTAGGTTCTATTTCTTAATCAGTTTTTTCTAAGAATTTTCTTGTTTTTAGGCTCACCTTTAATCTCACTTCAAGACATACCTGTTGTTTCCCATTGCTGAGCTTTTTGTGAGTTCTGCAGTATAAATTAAGTGACTTGAACTTTCCTGGGTCTATGATGTCAGTCATTCTTTGTCTTTCTGCTTTCTAAAATGCTGTTGCTATGAGTTCTCCTCTCATCGCTTTGTCTTAAGGGCCAGTTGTGAGTGTGTGTGAGTCTTTACTATTGTTAGGCGTCAGTTCAGGAGACAGAGCAGAGCTAATGCACAGCTTCCGTTCTCTGGAAGTCCCCTCACCTGTATTGTACTGAGAATCTCAGGGAAGTCGTTCTTAAGGTCTATTCTTATGAGCAAATAATATTGAATGAAATGTCTTTCTAATGACACATTTTTGTTTGTTTTAATGATTGCTCCTGATGCTGGTCTGAAAAATTGCAAAATGTGTTTTATTTTCCTCTTTCTGCCAAGCCTCAGATGTGTTTAACCTGGTTCTTTTCTATAACTTTGCAGGTCCACAAGTAACGTTTATTTCATTTATCTTTTTTGAACAGGGAAGAGAATGTGAGAGGTCATACAGAAATGCTGTATATTAAGAGATATACAGTAAGCCCTTAGGATAACCACTAAGGAAATAACTTTTAAAAAAGTGAAAAATCATGAAGGGATTTAAGAGGCTACATCAGAAAATATTCACTTACTATTTTTAAAAATCAATGGAGGAATAGAACAAAATAAGAAGTGACATATTAAAAAACAAAAATTGGTAAATGTAAGCCAACTATTATATTAATATATCAGTAGTAACATTAAGTGTGAATGGCTTAAATAATTCAGATAACCAAGATTATCACATGGGTTTAAAAACACAGAAGAGAAGATCTAGCTATATGCTGGATAAGTGAAATCAAGAGTAGAAAAACAATGGAGAGAAATCAGTGAATCCAAAAGTTAGATCTTTGAAAGGATCACCAAAACTACCAGACCTTAGCTAGATTGACCAAGCAAAAAGGAGTTCAGCTCAGTTTAGTCGCTCAGCCGTGTCCGACTGTTTGCCACCCCATGGAGAGAATGCTGCAATTACTAGAATCAGAAATTAAAGAGGGGAGAGTACTGCCAACCTTACAGAAACAAAAATAATTATAAAGGAATGTTTATCCTGTGAACATCCGGATATGCCAATAGGTTGGACAACTTAGACAAAATGGGCAGGTTATTTGAACAGTATTCTCTGTACATAAGAACTGACCTGATGATCTATTTCCAGGCTCCTGCCTTCTCCTCTCAAGGATGCAGTAGAAGTCTCGACCTGGAGAAGATGTTACACAATGCAGGAGGTGAACTCTGCCCTTAGTAAGATCCAGCTGGTGGGATATTCTCAGAAAATTGTGAGTGTTAATACGATTTTAACTGATTGATGAATGCTCTTGATTCTTTGGAAGGATTCTGTAGTTCCCTTTTTTAAGCCATTCAGTCACTATAAATCTTGTACTAATACATGGTGGAAAGATAGAACATCTGTTATTTCCCTCCATCCTTCCCAGGTTCTTACTGGTGCTCTGTCCTAAACCTTATATTCCCCGTCACTCATTAGCATATAATAGGTCAGGAAAAAAAGGCATCTCATCCTGTTTACTTTAGAACAGTGACACCATTTTATAGGTTTTGGACTTGTGCAGTAGGGAACAGCATCAAAGGGATCAAGAAATAATTTGGCACATATGACTTCTGAGCTCTGATCATGATGAGGGTTCCCATTCCTGTTAACTGTGGCCCAGAGCCACTCTGTACAGAACAACCAAGATATTAATTCCTAACCTGAAAAGGGTTAAAAAAAGAAGAAGAAAACCTAAGTATTTGTCTCTTTGGCCTATATTATAACATATCCTCTTTGCCTTTTAATGGGTGGGATCTGGGTGCCTGGTGACACGTGGGTGGACTGGAATTCTCAGAAATGTGATGAGTAAAAGACTGTAAGATGTGACCCTCCCATGGTCTCCACCATCTTTCTGTTCTTAAACTTTCTGATTCACTTGAAAGTAGTTCCTAAGTGGAGAAGGGTTTTCTGGGTTTTTTCCCTCTGCAAACTTAACTGGCATGACTGCACTACTGAAAGCTCAGCACACATTCTTACAGTGGTTCTTTTCCAGGAGCTTTTCGGTGCGGTCCAGGTGACTCCCCTAAGCTCTGGCTACGCCCTTGGAAGCTCCAACTGGATCATCCAGTCCCATTATGAGAAGGTGTCTTACGTCTCTGGATCCTCCTTGCTTACCACGCACCCACAGGTAATTCTAAATTCTCCTGTTAACAACTCAGGTTTTCAGTTGAAAGTGAAGCCGCTTAGTCATGTCTGACTCTGCATCGCTATGAACTGTAGCCCACCAGGCTCCTCCGTCCACAGGATTTCCAGGCAACAATACTGGAGTGGGTGACCATTTCCTTCTCTAGGGGATCTTCCCGACCCAGGGATCAAACTTGGGTCTTCCGCATTGCAGGCAGACTGTATTACTATCTGAGCCACCAGGGAATCCCTGAATTTTCAGTAACTACCCTAAATTCAGAATGTATCCAGAGTGGCGTCAGCTCTTTGTCTTTTTTTATTTATTTATTCGTTTCTACAGTAGGTCTTTCTTGGTTATCTATTTTAAGTAGAACAATGTGTACATGTTAATCCCAAACTCCCAATCTGTCACTTTGCCCAGCCCTCCCTGCCATAACCATAAATTCATTTTGTAAGTCTCTGAGTCTGCTTCCATTTTGTAAATAAGTTCAACTGTATCTTTTTAGATTCTACATGTAAAGCAGTATCATACAGTATTTGTCTTTCTCTGTCTCATGACTTCACTTAGTCTGATAATCTCTAAGTCCACCCATGTGCTGCAGATGGCATTGTTTCATTCTTTTCAGTGGCTGAGTAATATTCCATTGTGTGTATTTACCACATCTTCTTTGTCCATTCATCTGTCAGTGGACATCTAGGTTGCTTTCATGTCTTGGCTATTGTGAATAGTGGTGCAGTTAACACTGCGGTCCATGTATCCTTTTGAGCCATGTTCTTCTCTGGGTAAAAACCCCAGGAATGGGATTGTTGGATCATATGGTAACTCTTTTTTTTTTTTTTTTTTTAAAGAAATCTCCATACTGTTCTCCATAGTGGCTGTACCAATTTACATTTCCACCAGCAGTGTCAGAGGATTCCCTTTTCTCCGCTTCTTTAGCACATATTTGTAGATTTTTTTGATAATAGCCATTCTAACAAGCTTGAGGTGATATCTCACTATAGTTCTGATTTGTGTTTCTCTAATAATTAGTGATGTTGCACTTCTTTTCATGTGCCTGCTGGCCATCTGTACATCTTTGGAGAAATGTCTGTTTAGGTCTTTGGTTCATTTTCTGATTGGGTTGTTTGTTTTGGGGTATAAAACTGCATCAGCTTTTTTCCCATTCTGTGGGTTGTCTTTCTTTTTTTTCCTTGTGATTTCCTTTGCTGTGCAAAAGCTTTTGAGTTTAATTAGGTCCCATTTGTTTGTTTTTGTTTTTATTTCCATTATTCTGGGAGACCAATCAAAAGAAGATACTAGTGAAGTTAATGTCAGAGAGTGTTCGGCCTGTGTTTTCTGAGTTTTTATAGTATCCAGTCTTACATTTAGGTGTTTAATCTATTTTGAGTTTATTTTGGAGTATAGTATTAAAGATTTTTATGTCTTCATTTTTTTTTTAACATGTAGCTGTCCAGTTTTCCCAGCACCATTTATTGAAGGGACTCTTTTTTCCATTGTATAGTCTTGCCTCCTTTGTTGTAGATTAATTGACCACAGGTTCATGAATTTATTTCTGGCCTTTCTGTCCTCCTGCTCCATCGATCTATAATTCTGTTTGTGTGCCAGTACCGTGCTGTCTTTGATGACTATAGCTGTATAATACAGTCTGAAGTTCAGGAAGCCTGATTCCTTTTGCTTTTCTTTCTCAGGATTGCTTTGGCTGTTCCTTTGGGTCTTTTGTGTCTCCATGCAAATTTTAAGATTTTTTGATCTAATTCTATGAAAAATGACGTTCGTAATCTGGTAAGGATTTCATTGAATCTATATTGCCTTGAGTAGTATAGTCATTTCAACAATATTGATTCTCCCAATCCAAGAACATGGTATATGTGTCCATGTGTTGGTGTCATTTTCAATTTCTTTCATCAGCATCTTATACTTTTTGGAATACAGGTCTTTTGTCTTGTTCAGTTCAGTTCAGTCACTCAGTTGTGTCCAACTCTTTGCGACCCCATGAACTGCAGCACGCCAGGCCTCCCTGTCCATCACCAACTCCTGGAGTCCACCCAAACCCATGTCATTGAGTCGGTGATGCCATCCAACCATCTCATCCTCCATCGTCCCCTTCTCCTCCTGCCCTCAATCTTTCCCAGCATCAGGAGGTAGGTTTATTCCTAGGTATTTTACTTTTTCAATGCAATGGTAAGTGGGATTGTTTCTTAAATTTCTCTTTCTGATCTTTCATTGTTAGTGTATAGAAATGCAACAGATTTCTGTGTATTAATTTTGTATACTGCAACTTTACCAAAGCATCAGCCTTTTAAATCTTTATGACTTTAGTTTCTACAAACATTCTTTTTTGTTGTGTAAGAACACTTAACATGAGTTAGGTGCTCAGTCACTCGGTTGTGTCCAACTCTTTGCAGCCCCATGGACTGTGGCCTACCAGGCTCCTCTGTCCATGGGATTTTTCAGGCAAGAATGCTGGAGCAGGTTTCCATTTCCTACTCTAGAACATAAGCTATACCCTTATAATAAAAGTGTAACTGTACAATACATGGTTGTTGACTATAAGTGCAGTGTTGTATGGCCGATCTCTAGAGCTTTTTCATCTTGTTTACCTGAAACTTTATGTCCTACTCTTCTATCAAAGTTAGATTATTGTGTCTGAACATTTAGGATCATAGTTCCTCTATAAGATCATGCTGCCTTTAGGTCACCTCTGGGATTTAGAGATTTCCCAACACTTCCAATGACCAGAGCCTGATGTGTATAACAGAGATGGTCGCTCATTTACTCAGCAAATACTAATTTTTCAATATTTACTAAAGGCCCTCCGTGTCAAGCACTCATCTAGGTGTTAGAGATTCAGTGGTGGCCCACAGACAAAGTCTCCTCTCACGGATCAGTATTCATATGATGAGAGAGAATGGCATGATGAAAATAAATGAGCAAAATGCTTCCACATGGTGACACAAGTACTGAAAACAGAGTTCTGTAGAGAGTGCTGGTGACTAGTTTAACTTGGATGGTCAGACAGAGCTTCTCGGGAAACATCTCATTGGAACTGAGACCTGGGGAAATGAGGCATGTAAAGCTGTGTGGGCGAAGTATGACAGAGATGTGGCAGACGAAGAGCTCCTAACACTAGAACAAGCTGGACATGTCGGCAGAGCAGAGGACACCCTTGTGATTTTATCATATGAAGTGTGATCATGACATGTCCAAGATGCCAAGCCATGTAGGACTTCATGAGAAGTTTGAATTTTATTGGAATGTATAGACTGAAGCTTTTAGAAAGTTTTAAGTTAGTTGTTCTTTAACAGTTATATTGGCAAGAAGCTCAGTGTTTAAGTATTGTTATAAGTGTTACTTAACTCCATTTTTTAGATATTTCTAAAGAATTTATTGTTCATTTTCTAAATTTTTTCATGTCTATAAAAGGTCAGTTCAGTTCAGTCGCTCAGTCATGTCCAACTCTTTGCAACCCCATAGACTGCAGCACACCAGGCCGTGAAATGATGGGGCCAGATGCCATGATCTTAGTTTTCTGAATGTTGAGGCTTAAGCCAACTTTTTTACTCTTCTCTTTCACTTTCATCAAGAGGCTCTGTAGTTCTTCTTCACTTTCTGCCATAAGGGTGGTGTCATCTGCATATCTGAAGTTATTGATATTTCTCCCAGCAGTCTTGATTCCAGCTTGTGCTTCATCCAGCCCAGCATTTCTCATGATGTACTCTGCATATAAGTTAAATAAGCAGGGTGACAATATACAGCCTTGATGTATTACTTTCCCGATTTGGAACCATTCTATTGGTCCATGTCCAGTTCTAACTGTTGCCTCCTAACCTGTGTACAGATTTCTCAGGAGGCAAGTAAGGTGGTCTGGTATTTCCATCTCTTTCAGAATTTTCCACAGTTTATTGTGATCCACACAGTCAAAGGCTTTGGCATAGCCAATAAAGCAAAAGTAAATGTTTTTATGGAATGCTCTAGCTTTTTCGCTGATCCGCTTTTTCAGTGGATGTTGGCAATTTAACCTCTGATTCCTCTGCTTTTTCTAAATCCAGCTTGAACATCTGGAAGTTCATGGTTCACGTACTGTTGAAGCCTGGCTTGGACCATTTTGAACATCACTTTGCTAGTGTGTGAGATGAGTGCAGTTGTGCTGTAGTTTGAGCCTTCTTTGGCATTGCCTTTCTTTGGAATTGGAATGAAAACTGACCATTTCCAGTCCTGTGGCCACTGCTGAGTATTCCAAATTTGCTTGCATATTGAGTGTAGCACTTTCACAGAATCATCTTTTAGGATTCGAAACAGCTCAGCTGGAATTCCATCACCTCCACTAGCTTTATTCGTAGTGATGCTTCCTAAGGCCCACTTGACTTCGTGTTCCAGGATGTCTGGCTCTAGGTGAGTGAGCACACCATCGTGATTATCTGGGTAAAAAAGGTGGTGCTAGTGTAAAGAACCCACCTGCCATGTAGGAGACATAAGAGACGTGGGTTTGATCCCTGGCTCCAGAAGATCTCCTGGAGGAGGGCATGGCAATCCACTCCAGTATTCTTGCCTGGAAAATGCCACATACAGGGAGCCTGGCGGGCTACAGTCCATGGAGTCGCAGAGAGTAGGACACGACTGAAGCAACTTAGCACAGTACACATATATCTTCCCATGTTTATAAAAGAGGGCAGTGGAGATTAGATAGTCAATAGATGATGGATGGATAGATAACTTGGTGAAATCCATATCCCATTTTAATATGAGAAAAAGAATGTTGTAAGTCTAGAACAATAGAATGCTCTGAGCTGCCACTCTGCTTTGTTTTCATACCTTTTTTGTAAGCAACTTTCATTTCAAGGTCTAGAGGGGACAAGTTGCTAGTTTTTCCTATAGCTAGCAGAATTCTGGGCCTTTCCCGCTTGCTGAAATCAAAAGCCCATCAGTGTCATCTTCATCTTCTTCACTGAATCAGAATTTTGTATTGGCAGCTTCTATCATTCCTGATATATTCTCTCATAAAA